TGATGAGTGAGAATGTTATACTCGAGTAGTACAAACAATATCCATAGCATCAATCTCTGTACACCATCCATCTCACCTACTACGCTACACATAACACCAGTCCAGAGTAAAATCAGAAAGGCAAAAACGAAAAGAATAAGAAATCTCTTACTCGTAGATCCGTCCGTACAAAGCATATCTGTCAACCCTTCAACTCATAGAATTGGTAAGTAAGAGTAAGCATGGTGCAGGATAAGATTTTGACAGGTATGGTATGGTTTGGTATGGTATGGTACAGTGAGATCTTACTAGTCGTATCATTTATGCTATCATTTTATCGTTCGTCACAAATCACGAACTAGTTTTGATGGGGTTCGTCTTTTTAGTCTTTAGCTATCTAGTAGGTATAGTTAGCTGGAACCTTTTGATTGTCGGTAAGGTTAACCTTACTGCTCCGTGACCCGTCATCCATGTGGCATTATTGTGGCCCTGTCAAATGGATATGATGATATGATGATAGTCCGTATGGGTGGATTTAAACAATCGGATTTTTGTATTAGTTAGCATCTAGTGGGTATAAAAGTAACTTCGGTGTGGAGATGAGATGTGGGAGGGGTTCGGTCTACTACCGAGCTTGGAGCTTGGAGTTTAGCTGGGTAGATTAGAGAGAAGTTTCTTCCTCCCCCTTACCAAGTCAGCTCATTATCTTGCTTTGGTGGCCAAGATATTATATTCTCCGATTAGTTTACGAATTAAATAAATATCTTGTGTTTCCTTCGTTTTGAGATCTTGTTTTTTGTTTCTTCATTCAGATACCCAGATACCGGTAATCAATTAAATCGTCATCGTCCAATAATTCTAGACGAGTCGAGGTCTGCGATAAGCTTATCTCTCCACATAACTCGATAACCATAAATATAACCACAACAACTATTCATTGAGAACAAACACAATATCGCAGCCATGAATGAGGCAGATCGAGAACTAATACGCGCCAAGCGCGATGCTTCCCTCGAACGATTTCCCGTCGATTCTCCAATCCACTCTCCTCAACCCCGCCATCCCTCACACGAAATCGAACGTATCCCTACCGCATCCTCCATCTCCACCACTTCCTCCGGTGCCTCTTCACATCGTCCTACTCTTTCTCGAATTCCCACCCAACGCGATCTAGAAAGTAATCCTACTGTCATATCACGAATCCAAACTGCGCGGTCGCAACATACAGGGACAGTAGGCAGAAGTGCTACCGGTAAGAGTAGTAAGATTAGTCGGATTTTTAGTACAAAGGAAAAACCTTTACCACAGATGGGATTGGGGAAGGTTTATCCCCCGTTATTGCCGGATCGAGATGAGTATGTGGTGGAGTTTGATGGACCGGATGATCCTTTACATGCGGTTAATTGGCCGATGAGGAAGAAGTGAGTAGTTTTCTGATACTTTCACAAAAATGAAACTAATGGATTGCGAATAGGATTCTCACGGCAGTAATGTTGGGATATACAACATTAGTATCAGCATTTACATCTAGTATCTTTTCAACGGCAACTCGAACTGTGGCAGCGCAATACCATGTCTCAACTGAAGTTGGAACATTGGGACTTTCGTTCTATGTTTTGGGATTTGCTTTTGGACCTATTCTATGGGCTCCATTGTCGGAATTGAAGGGGAGAAGATTACCGATTGTTCTTTCGATGTTTGGATTTTCAATCTTTCAGGTTGCGGTTGCGGCTGCGAAGGATTTACAAACGATTTTGCTTTGTAGATTTTGGGGAGGTGTGTATACTCTTATACTCTTTTGTATGTATGTCGGATACTAATATATTGAATGAATAGGTATCTTTGGTGCGGCTCCATTAGCAGTAGTTGCTGCGGTTTTCTCGGATATGTTCGATAATAAAACAAGAGGACTTGCCATCACCGTTTTTTCCATGACCGTCTTTACAGGTCCACTACTCGCCCCCTTCATTGGTGGATTCATCGTAGAATCTCATCTCGGTTGGCGTTGGACCGAATGGCTTCCCGCTATCATGGGTTTCGTAGCTTTCATCTTGGATTTCTTATTCCTTTCCGAAACCTACCCACCTATCATCTTAATCGAAAAGGCAGCCGAACTTAGAAGAAGAACGAAAAATTGGGGTATCCACGCCAAACAAGAGGAAATAGAGATTGATTTCCGTGAATTAATCACCAAGAATTTCTCTCGTCCTCTTAGACTTTTGGTAACCGAACCTATCGTTCTGCTTATTTCCATCTATATGGCTTTTATCTACGGCCTACTCTACCTCTTCCTCACAGCCTATCCAATCGTCTTTCAACAAATCCATGGTTTCACCGGCGGCGTAGGTGGTCTTCCATACTTTGGTATGATCATAGGAATGTTAATCGCAGGCGTCTATGTCGTCCTCACTCAACCATCATATAACCGCAAACTCGCAGCAAACAACGGCATCCCAATCCCAGAATGGCGTCTCCCACCCGTGATTGCTGGAGGAGTAAGTTTCGCAGCAGGACTCTTCTGGTTCGGATGGTCAGGTTATCGAGCAGATATTCACTGGATCGTCCCCACGCTTTCGGGTCTCCTCACGGGTTTTGGCCTCCTAGCTATCTTTCTCCAATCTCTCAATTATCTCGTCGATGCCTATCTCATGTTTGCAGCCTCGGCTATTGCTGCAAATACTTTCTTGAGATCATTGGCCGGAGCGGGTTTCCCTCTCTTCTCCCAATACATGTTTAAATCGTTGGGAGTTAATTGGGCGGGAACGTTGCTAGGTTGTGTAGCGTTGGTTCTGGTGCCGATCCCGGTTTGCTTTTATATCTATGGGGCGAAGATTAGGGGGAAGAGTCAATTTGCGCCGACGTTTCCGGTGCAAGGGCCGGCGAGGGATGAGGAGGAGGGGGGTGGGGATGGGAATGGGGATCGAGATAGGGATACAGATAGAGATGTTAATGGGAGGGAAAAGGGGGAGGAGGTTAGGGTTTAATTGAGGAAGTTGACTATTGCTTAATCGTTGTGTAATTTGGCTTGGAAAAGAAAAAGGCGTACGGATATCATATATTAATTGGTTAATGAATGAGAGATGAAGGATTCCGATGTAATGAGATGAGATGAGTGGATGGATGGATGGATGGGGACGTAGAGGAGAGGAGAGAAAATTAAAGACGGAGGGGATTTGGTAATTTGGGGTTGACATACTAGTAGGAATTATTGGAAAAAGGGCAGAATGAGAAGAATAGGATGGGAAAAGGGAAAGGGAATAGGAAAAAGGAAAAAGGAAAAAGGAAAAAGGAAAAAGGAAAATATATAATAAGAGAACAAGACAAATGATATCTAGGGGGAATTTTTCTTTCTTTGAGAATTAGCGATTAAATTATTAGTAGTAATTAGTTACAATACAGGTGGTGGTGGTAGAGTAGGAGGAGTAGGAGGAGTAGGAGATGGAGGAGATGGAGGAGATGGAGGAAAAGTGGAGAAGGAGGAGGGGGAGGAGTAGAGTAGAGTAGAGTATATAATGTATTATTCTGAGGTACAAGTATATTGTGTTATAGTATATTGTGTTATGGCATGATATATTGTATAGATAGTGAGGAAAACGAGGAAGATGAGAAAGATAAGGAAGATATCAATTCAATGATAATTATACTCGAGTATGAATAGTGTTTATATACATACTCGTATACTGTAATTATATTCGAATCTTGCAAGTAAATCAACTACCCCACATATGGACCACCCCCCCTTATGGACCATCCTAAAAACCCACATCGCCTAAGCAACCTACCCTCTTCAAAAATTTACAATTAAACAACTATTCAATCAATCGATTTCAAGTTTTGATATATTATTATTTATATAATATTAAAACTCTATATTGAAAACAATATTACTATAGTTTTAAATGTTATTGTGAATAGTGTTTCGATATTAAAGCTGTTTTAGATTATAGGATTCCTTGTATTATATTTTATAATTATATCAATGGCTATGTCTCCTATCAAAAAAGTTATTAGAGTATACAAAAGATTGCTTCGATTTAGGAGAAATGTTTAGTGGAATAGATATTAGTATAGGAGAACTTAGGTATTAATCCTATCTATTAGCAAATTCGAGAAATCGGAAAATATTTCTTTAATATAAAAGAATTCGATTCTATTTTTGGAAAGTGATAGGTATACAACTTTTTGGAGAGGAATCCAGAGATTAAAACTAAGAGATAATATAGGATTGATTCTATCTGAGTTTCAGATATCTTATATAATATTATTGTATTATAGTTTTGAAAACTCGAATTATTAGAGATTATTGATATAAAACCTGAAAATCGATATAATATAGATAAGGCTAATATAATAAAGGGTCAGGATCTCAATGATCTAATAATAGAAAACTTTTAATATTGGAATATTTAGAAAAAACAGTTTGATTCAAGAGTTTAGATATCTTTTATTAAATATATTTTAGTGATAGAGTGAGTATTTATATTATTTGTCATTTTTAAGAGAAAACATATTTAATAACAATGATTTTTTATTAATCTTACTCTCTATAAGGATTGGAACTTTATTACTATTAATAATGAATGAACTATAGATATAATAGGGCTAAAATAATTGGAAAAGGTTTTTATATCTCAAACTACCTTTTTTGAGACTAGCGATATATGATTATTTATATTGAATAATTATGAAAGTTATAAAACTATGTCTTTCATGTATAAATACTTCGAAAATAATATATATCTTTTATTCCTATTATTATATATCTTATATATCCTATAATCATTAGATTTATTAGTCTTTTCACCTCTGAAAAATATATATTAATATATACTCAATAATTTGAATTCTCTTTCTGATTTTTATACCAATTGGAAAATGTAGCTTTTTTATATTGCTATCAGAAGGCTAGAATGGAA